CCCCCCGCTGCACGCGCGGCCCTCGCACATTGCCCAGCCCTGGCCCACCTGCCTCTTCGCACACTCACCCCCAACCTTGACTTCTTGCACGCTCATCCAGGCCTTGACCCTTGCACACTCACCCCCAGCCCTGGCCCACCTGCTTCCTTGCGCACTCACCCCCAGCCTTGACCCCTTGCACATTCACCTCCAGTCCTGGCATGCCTGCACCTCGCACGCTCATCCAGGCCTTGACTCCTTGCACACTCACCCCCAGCCTTGACCCCTTGCACGTTCACCCTCAGCCCTGGCATGCCTGCGCCTTGCATGCTCCCCCCCCGCCAAGGGCTGGAGGATCCAGCCTGACACATTCCCACCTGGGCAGCAGGGCGGGAATCCAGCATTGCTGTCGAAAAGACGTTTGGTCTGAGATTTTGAGCAGAACGAGTCAGTCCTCCTCGTCCCCTACCCCAAAGCCGCCTTCCAAAGAGAAACCAACTAGCGGCCTGGAGAGTGAGTACTTGGCAAAGACCTCATGAGCTCTGGGCTCGTTAGGGCCTGGGAGGTCCTCTGAGTAACGAGCAGGTCTGAAGTGGTACGGGAATAGCGGGCGGGGGCTTTCAGCAAGCAAAGCCCAGAATCGGGCTTTAAACCACCTTTGGTAACTCGAGGTCTTTCTCCGGCCCCCGGAGGGCTGCGCTGCAGATAGAAATCTTATTACTAATGCAGCTGCCTGGCTCAGTAAAGCGAGGGAACCTCAGGCTTCAGATGAATAATTAAAAACCCTGTCAACAGGCCTTTGCAGGGCCATCATCTAAAATTAGTAACTCCGAGCGCAATTCTGGGTGTATAACGCAATCCGCAGCAATGGGATCCGTTTCTTCCCTCCTTTTTCCCCCCCCGCCCCAATGCCACGCACTCTTGGCCGTTTGACAGCCTTCGCTTCAGCTGCTGAGAACGAGGGGAAGGGTCTGGGGTGATCCCCGAACGTTTTCGGGCTCCGGCACCGCTTGCACCAGCACCGACCCGTCGCTCAAGCGCAAGCCCGGCCCGGAGAAAGCGGGGCCGG